GCTCATATATATGTAGTACTATATAATTACATATATATATAATATATACTATATACACTACTATATATATATATATTATATAGAGAGAGATAGAGATGGCGGATCGGAGAGACGACGAGAGAGAGAGAGACGAGAGAGAGAAGAGAAACAAAGAGAGCAGAAGACGAGTGGAGAGAGACGAGACGACGGGAGACATAGAGAGCGGACATGCGAGTTGATGAATAATAACCGTGCATAAGGTGAAAGACAATATGACACAATGAGATAGAGAGAGAGAAAGATAGATGAGAGAGAGACGAGAGTGACGCGATCAGAGAGCGAGTCAGGCCGGAGAGGGCGCGAGAGAGAGCAAGCAGAGTAGAATAGAGCACGATTAGATACGATAGCAGAGGACAGAGAGCAGAGAGCAGAGAGAGAGAGAGAGCAGAGAGGAGAGAGTAGCCTAGGAGGGAGAGCATAGAGAGAGAGAGAGAGAGAGAGACGAGAGAGTAGCTGATGTAGAAGTAGAGAAGAGAAATGAAGAGAGAGAGAGGCGCAGGGAAAAGTTGTGTATAGAGCAGAGCACCGAGGGGAGAGGACCCTTAGAAACCGAGAGAACGCAGAGAGAGAGGAGAGAAGAGAGACGAGAGAGAAGAGTAGTAGGGTTAGAGGAGCAGATGAGAGATAGTAGAGGGACACGAGGCGGCTTCCAGTGTGACAAAGATAAATGATTATCAGGTGAAAACGACATATGACAATGAGATAGATGATGGTTAGAGATAGAGAGAGAGAGAGAGATCGAGAGATGAGAGGGGCGAAGTTAGAGAGAGATAGAGAGAGAGGAAGAGAGAGAGATCAGCGATGAGAGAAACAGAGAGATAGCCAGAGATAGAGAATGCAGAGAGCACGAGAGAGATGCACGAGAGAGAGAGACGCATGCAGCGATGAGAAGATGAAGAGAGACGAACGAAGAGAAGAGAGAGAGAGAGCTTGACGAGAGAATGAGAGATGAGGAGAGAGAGATGAAGGCCACCTATATAGTATTGTAATAATAGAATAGTTTATGATGGGGGCCCAAGGTCACATAAATAGTATTGTATATGATGATGGCCTAATGCCATCTATATCAGAAGTAGATAATAGGGAATCTAATATAACTACTACTATATAATACTATATAACTATATACTATATACAATCTATATAGTATTGTAGTATAGGGTATGCTGGCGGCCCACCAAGGCCACATATATAGTATTGTGTATGAAGGGGGCCTAAGGCCTGCTATATACTAGTGTGTGGTAAGCCTTGGTTGTAAGCTATACCGCCTCCAGCAAAGAAAAGTAGGTTGCATCACTTGCACAGTGCATTATTGCGCCAGCGGGGCCTTAGGCCATAGGTGGCTTAAGGCCACACTTGGGTGTGGATATATATTACAAATGTCTTGCATGTCGTATGTACGTACAGGTGCTGGGCGGCTCCAGCGGGAGGCCTTGAGTGGATTATTACGTCATGTATCATCGCCGCGTTCTTCGTAAGTACCGCATGAATTCACATCTTACAAGACGTGCTCCGAATTTAAGCAGACGCATCCCCAACTTTACGATAAATAGGAGTGCGCACCCTTGTTTTTTACATGTTTTACCCCTCAAGTTTCGGAGCTCATATGACAGTCCAATGTAATTTTATTAGAGGCATCCCCAAATTTACGATAAATGAGGTAGCACACACTTTTTCTACTTTGTTATTCCTTGTACTTTTTTACCGGTATCATCTTGGATTTTATAACATCGCTTCGCTTTTCGTACTGTACTGCATTTATTCGCGCCTCATAAGACGCTGCAATGCATTTAAATTAGACGCGTCCCAGTTTTATAGAAAAATTGCTAATAGCGCATGTTCGTTCTCTCTCTCTCGCCATCTCTCCCTCTTTCTCTCGCCCCCCCCCTCTCTCTCTCTGCCTGTCTCTTTCTCCCTCTTTCTCTCTCTCTCTCT